TTTTACTATCACACATTACAATATACTACCAGAACTCGTTGGAAAAGCCACCTGAGAGTTTTTGGATTATGGTTACATAGATAATACTTTGATGAACTGTGCTAGTAAGTTCAGTGCTCTGATCACATCCACTCGGAAAGTTGGCTCCGTCGTTCTTCAAGTGCGCCATCATTCATTCGGAGCAAACTCAGAAACTCATGGCGTACACACACAGCTAACCCTAGTCCTCACAACTGTAGCGATTGTTTCTTTGCAACGTACTTAGTATAACAAGTCTGTGAGGGCAAATTCGCACATCAGCACTTTTTAGCAGAACGGTTTTGTACCAATAACGGGCTACTGTACAAACATTTGAAGAGGCTTCGGGAAGTGTGGCATGGTAGAATGTGTTCTAGGCGCCGAGGATCCTCCAACCGTTCTACGATTTCAATACGCTCCAGTACTTCGACGTGCCACCAGCTCGTGTCACACACCTGACCCGATCGCCTAGTCGCCAGGTCGCTTTTAGCTCAGCGACCATTTTGGGGAAGCTGCTTTCGTCATGCACCCGTAGTTTACCCGGTGTTGACAACTATTCCCCGAAATCGCTATGTGTGACAGCTGCGAGACCAGCAGAGCTCTTCTTTTGACTTATTCAGAGGTGCGTGGATGAACAAGTAGTCTATATCATCTGGAAGCAGGGTATTATTGCCTCGATTTTTAAGGAGTGTAGCCGCTTGGAACCCTCAAACTATCTCGCAATATTCCTCATCCCACTGCTGTCACAGGTAATGAACTCTATCATAATTGAGACACTAATGGATTATTTAGGATGATCTAACATCATAACGCTGGAGTAACACGAATTTCGTCGACACCGGTCAGGTACTACCAACCTACTTATTGCTCGTGGCAGTTGGGCCGAAACAGCAGATAGTGTAATCTGAACCCAAGTCATCTCTTTGGACCGCTTTGTTTACTGCATACTTCTCCAAAAGCCACCAATCTACGGAATTGAGAAACCTGACCTTTGATTGATCCGAAACTTTCTTTTTCAGCGGCAGCTACCATTTCGTTCTGGAGCCTCACTATCCGGTCCGACTAAAGTGGACTGCTGTGTTCCACAAGGCTCAGTATTGGGGCCACGCTTATTCTTGGGCTATATTAACGACGTACGTGTCCTCGAATCGAATTTATCGATTTTTGCCGAGAATATCAAGGTTTGGCGGACGATCGTAATCAGAAATACCACGAAATGCTGCAGCAAGACATAGGCCGTGCTTTTGAGATTTCAATGACGAATTGGCCCTCCCCCCTTCAATACCGATATGTGTGAAATTGCACATGTACACGTCATCAGACAAATAATACAGGTAGGCTGGTAGACCACATCTTGAAAACATCTCACAGCAGATCCGTCTTAGTGTAGTAGTTCAGGATATCCTCCACTATTTGGAGCAATCCGTGAAGTTGTTCAAAACCAGGAACCAATATGCTGATCTCTTACGAAGAGCGTTCGATTCGTTCGACCCTTCCATCTTTCCGAAATTGTCCATAGTGTACTTTAGACTCTATATATAGTACGCTATTTAGACTTGGTAACCATGGCTAAAACGCAGTGTACCTACTCTTGAAATGCCACAACGAAGGACAGTCGAAAATATGAAGGTTTTGTTTCATCTGCCATATCGATTGCGACTGAAAGCCCATGGAGTTCACAGCAAGAGCTATCGTCGCCTACATGTTGATCTGATTTCGATCCATCAGATATTGAAAAACCCTGATCACATTTGCCCCCACCCCTTAAATTCAGTCGCAACACGAAGGCGAGGTACCACCAACTGAAGCTGATCACCCAATACAGACGGTTGGAAGGTCGCTGGAACTCTTTTCTCCTCGGAATTTGTAAACCATTGAGCACACTTTCGAACCATCATTTCTGCGCTCACGTTCTTCATTAAATAATGACGACGATGCATTGCATCATTAGTATTACATGGCTTGACTCTCGTTCATCGAGCAACAACAAATCTTGGAAACTGCTCAACAAGCCGCAGGAAATCGAGGTATACGGATTTATATGTGTGTGAATGATCAAAGCAGGCCGTTATAACTGAAAATAGCAAACCAACATTTGGGCATATTGCGGAGAGTGTTTGACCGGTTTGATCCTAACTTATTTTTGCAGGTGCACAAAGCTTACCTGCGACCACACGTTGAATACCCCATTCATATGTGGAAACCTGGCAAAATCATGACCTCACTGCACTTGAAAAGCTACAAAGCAGAACGACAAAAAATCCTAAGGGATTGCTGCACCTCCTCTACCAGTTTAGACTAAAGGCTTGGAACTTTTAGTGTACAATATCGTCTTCTTCGAAGTGACCTCATATTGGTGTTTCGAATCCTCTAGGACTCTAACCACCCATGCCGACCCTTATTGAAGCTGGGCCACAAAGTATCACTGAGAGGCCAACAGTTGAGGTTAGCGTCACAGTATAGCCGGTTGGAATGCCTCCGGAGCTTTTCTCCATTCGTGTATAGCCATGGAACTTACTTCTGCATTCTATTATCGCTCCTACGATGATGCACTAAACCAGTTGCAGTACATGATCTTACCCAACTTACTGGGGCATGCGACAACGTCAAAAGCAATGTGTACACTTGAAGTTTGCGTAAGTCCACTGCTACACGTATAATGTTTCGATACATCCCTTTTTGCCCTCACTCTTTATCTAGGGAAAGCTGTTGTGTTTGCTTTCATATCCGTGAGAAATCCATTGTTTCATTGTCATGTGGATTTTAGGAGGCGTCCACTGATGCGCGGTAGCGCTTTCTGAAATGTTTTTCTTTATTGAGCATAAGTATTTTTTCACAGACCTACGGGACTTGTCTTCGCTTTTTGCCATAGTATACCAAGTTTCCATAGTATCATCAATCTAATTGTATTCCATTCGACAAAACTGCTACGCACACCGATGAGATCCGTATCGCTTTTTAACTGCCTTTTCATCCATAGAAATGGCGGTATATAAGCATTTTAAATAATGGTATGGTGTACAAGATTACGTTGAGACCAGTGTTGCTGAGTATATCAGAGATATGCACACAAGGTGTTAAAGGCACTCGCAAAGCCTTTTTCATACCTGGTGTGAGGGCCTGGTAAGCAACGCTGCAACGCATCAGGTCGGTTTGAGATAGGTATTTTGTCACCAGGCTTGTCCTCAGACTGTACTTAGCCCACCTACAGTGGGAAAAACACATGCTTATGTGTAGTTTTGCTGACACATCTAGTTTAGGGATTCGTCATATTAACTAATCGACTTTGGTATCCGTCGTATCCGACACGGTTCTTGAAAAGCCGTTAGTGTTACTACGCTCGTTTCTTTGCTCCTGCTTCTTAACTCCTCCATCTTTCGATCCTAACGTTTTCACTACTCGACCCATTGATATTTTTGTTTGAGCGGTTTGTTTTCCTCTACATTTTGTGTCGCGTGTGTGAAATGTTATTGTGCTTTATTGCTTTTTTCTCCCTTCGGTTTTGTGTTTCATGCAACTAGCGAGTTGTGATACATGATTAGTTGTGCCATGCATCGCGCGTGAAATGCCTCTCTAGTTGCATCGAATTCAAACCGGTTTCTCTGGTTAGCATTACGCGACATGTTTCATTTTAAGTGTTGGCGCTGATCAGCTAGCCGTCCAGATATTCAATTCTCTCAGCATCTATATCAGCGCCAGTGGAATGGAAGATGATAGCACAAACCGCATAGCCGAAGCTCCAGGCGCTTTCGCCAATCTCCGCTACCTGTGGCGCCGGCGTGACATCACTCGCCCTGAAGGACAGAGTTTACAATGCAGCCGTCCCGATCAGCTGTCTTGTACGGTTGCGAAATCTGGCCCGTCAAGTCGGCAGACATAAAGAGGTTAGTTACGTTCGATCATCGCAGCATAGCTCACATCTGGTAGGAGCGCCGCGTGAGCAAGGCGCGTGTTCGGCGTCGTGTATTTGGTGCAGGAACAGCGAGTGAACAGCTCAGCACCATTATCTCACATACCAGGCTCCGATGGCTAAGCCACATGTTACGCATGCCAACACACCGATTCCCGCGAACTACGTTGTTTGCGCGCCGGGGTTATGGATGGAAGAAGATGAAGGGAGACCAAGCATTGACTTGGTCAAGAGGAATGAAGTCCCTCACTTGGAACTTGACGTCAGTTAGTGTTTCCAGACTGCCAGACTGGGGACCGAAGGATGATGAACACGTTCGGTCTTATTCACTTGCTGGCATATCGAAGAACCGATCTCAGTGGCGTTTGTGTTGTCAGTTTCTTTGTCACTCCCCATCCCGATTATCTTCCCTCAGCAAACTCGATCTCTTGTAGCATGTGTTAGTAAGCAGTGTGTTGCTTGTACTTTTGCATTCTGTAATGTTTAGTATCTTACATTTTAGGATATCTTATGTTTTTATGTTGCGGCACAATAGCTAAAGTGTGTTTCTCACCCTCGTCCAATGTGTAATGATGCTGATGATGATATGCTGCTGCTGCTGATGGTGACGATGATGATGATAATGATGACGAAGGTTTTAAGTGACTCAAATCAACGTTCATTTGACTTGTTAATTGCGAGTTAGTAAGCAGGCAAGATTGTTGTTCACTAGTTATTATGATCCAGTTCGTTTCACTGATTGCCTGAGTATATTTGCATCACCGATTCGCTTTCTGCCAACAGCACATCCAACAAGTTGTTTTCTAATGATATTGGAGGAGGCCTATTTTGCTTCTGCGAGTCCTCACTTTATGTTTTTCCTACTAAACGACACTATTTTATTTGACACAGGACTGTACTGTGTCCAAGCTGCTTTAGATAGTGTTCTTTATCGCGGCTCCACTATGTACTATTCGCAGTTATACCTTCCTTGCTGTTATACAAACTAACATCCTCACAATTGATTCGGCCATTTGTTGAGACTTGATTCCGCTTTATGAAGCATTAATCCTCACATTTCTTTCTCTGTTAGGTCTTTTGTACATTGGCGGTAGCCAAATAATACGACGCCTGGACTAGAAAGGGAAAAATCTTTGGAATACATTCATGCAACGCACCTATATCTTCGGTGACCGCTGAATTCATTGCACAGTTATTCCACTGTTTAGTCCCTCGAGTTTATTACCCCTGTGCCTCCCTCCACAGTCGCGCACAATCCCACTTTTAACTCCAATTTTACACAACCACAAAACAGTGAACCAATTTTGGTCTTTATTTGACGAACTAATATTAATATCTATTGAACTTTACTCCCCCCATTCGCAAACGTAAATTAGATTCCTGAATTTTTGTTCAAATTTTATTTCGGTGCGGTATGTGTTACCGTGACGAATGCTGTCAACTTTCGTGTCCATTTTCTGTAAATTCAATCCTCAAGTGTCTCCCATTGGATGATGGCGAACTGAAAAAGTATCCCATTAGACATTTCATTGTAAGGCTGTTACCTTATATGTGCACTACATTCATAACTAACGATTTGACTTGACATGGTGTTACCAATGATTCGGAAAACGCAGTGATTCGTAACCCGCGAATCACACTCCGACAAGACTGGGCGGTAGCAATTAACGGGAATAGACACGTTAGATAAAAGATTGTCATTGGCATTTCTCAAGGATCTTTGTTTTACATTACTGATTGGTACGGTGGCGAATTGTGTTTGTTTAGTTTCTCCATTGTTTACAAGTCTTATTCGACCTATCAGCACATGGTCGTTATTTTGCATCTTTTCAGGTCAAGTTTATTTACATTTCTCGGAAGCATTCGTCTCGGGTTGGTTTTGTGAGTTGCAAACAAAACATGTGTACATCGTACGATGTTTGTTCTCTACCATAAAGTAATCTAGTGGTGGCCTCTCCTTAACGATGCTTTTGCCCATCATACTCTGTTGTAGTTACGGGAGAATATTTACCACTATTTTATTACAATCTCACTGTTCTTCATTCCAAGTACTACGGTTATAGTTCGCGGTGTTAGATAGCGCACCTGAAGTTACGGTTTGTTGCCTATGGCAAATAAGCTTTTGTAACTCCCCTCCCGATCTGCCCCACAACTGATGCGTCAAAGACAAACATTCATCCCTTGTTTCGTCCCGATGTAGTTTCCGTGTCGCGGATCCTGTGCTATCCGTTTCAGCTTGAAGTGACGGAACTGGTGACCTGTGATCTTCTTCGAGAGTGTCGTCGGATTCGAAATGAGCGACTTTGTGTCGGTCGATGCTAACTGCTTCACGTTTGCCCTAACGATCAATAGTGTATGCACGTCCTTTATATTGACTGACTTTAAATGGCCTTTCGTATAGGCGTTCTAACGCTCTGCGAGGACCGTCAACACGGACGAAAATTTGGTTTAGGTCTTGGGGCACGAAAAACTTACGCCTGGGTTCAAGCGATAGAGATAATCGCAATTTAGCAGCATGTTGTTGGGAATAAGTAGAATCGTAGAGATAAGGTTTTGGAACGCAAGGGAAAAAATCTCCAGGAAATTGTGTAGTTTGGCCATAGTCCAATTGAGCGCCAGATGCTTGAAGGTCAGTTTTGTTTGCTTAACAGATGTCCAACAATACCATCGGAAGGCTTCCGTTAAGTGCACCAACTGCACTGAGAGACGTTTTGACATGCTAGTGGAAACGCTCGACTATACCATTCGACGCAGAATGGTAACCGACACAGCATTAAATTTAAAATTGGATCAATAATTGAAAAAGAATAAAATCACCATAGCATATACCGGTTTGTTAATTTTTGGACAACTTTGTTTTGGTCTAGTAAAAATCGCGCTAGGTAGGGAATAATTGACGTACGGTACGCTCGTGTACGGGCATATATGGATTTGTACTTCTGTATGGTTAACTGCTTGTCACATTCAGGCAATACATAATGAAGCGTTGACTTATGTCAGCAAGTACTGTTGACGCTAGTCTCTTGCAAGAACCAACATGAGTGGATACAAGTATATCAACAAACGTCAGCTTCGATACACCGCTGCATCGCGACAAGTGTTTTAACGACCTGGAGATTAATCGGAAGTCCTTGCCCAATAGACCGGGAAAAATTACTGGTGAGACAGTAAGCAAAGTATCAAATCATGGGAGACAGAGAAAGCTCGCAGGCGTGAGGCATAGAACGATAGTCTTCGGAATTTTGTGAACTTTTATATGGTGGACCAAGATAAATCGTAGCTTAGCGAAACACCCAAGTACTTTTTACCGATGTGGAAGAGTGCAAACTCTTGCCCTCGATGTTGATTTGCATGCATTGGTAGAGAAGCTATTGTTATCGATCGCCCCTACGCAGGGAACAAATGCCAGCATTGCATTTTCACACCTTGAGCGGCAGCTCGCGGGCCTTTGACCAAAAGGTAAGATCGTTAAGTATATCTTGCAATCTGACTGAAAAGGCAGTCGTCAATTGTTTGATGCCCAGGACAATCTCACCTGGGTATTTCAGCAGGGTTGCCTCTCCTGGGACTGGTATTGAGGCTACATTGTTGGAAACGAAAAATGGTGATAGAATAGCTCCCTGAAGAACCCCGGAGTCTGTGATTAGGGGCCTAGAAGCTTTTGCCCCCAAATCGGGTAACCTGGGTGCGATCGGTAAACGTATCCCTTGAATGATGGACGATGACATGATCTATCCCAGCACCGAGCACATCTTTAAGCCGCAATTCGCGATTTACCCAGCCGAATGCGTTGCTGCAGTCCAAAAAGCTGACTAGAATGAAATTGATTCTCTTGTCCAAGGTGGACAGAACCGAGTGCACAAGTCAGGCTACTGCATCTTGGGCTGATCTCGAACTGCGGTAAGCAACTGGAAGCGAATCAGTTGACATCTGTCGTGTCAGCATCTTCTCAAGTATGGTATTTTCGAACACCTTTAGAGCTACCGAAATACAAGTGCTTGGTCGGTATTTGCTTGAGACCTTCTTTGGTATTGATGCAATATTGACGCCTCTCTAGCGGTCGACAATTTTGCCGTTGAATGCATAATGTATATGAAGTAGCCAGAGATTTGGCAAGAAAGTCAACATATTACTTGAGGACAATGAGAGACTGAATATCTGGACCCCTTGCTTTCCATGAGTGAAGCTGTTTCAGAGGGAAATGAGTCTGCAGACAATTTAGGTTTAGCAAAGGATGATGCAGGGATCGGATTATTAAATCTATTGCAGATGTCATGGTTCACTTTCTCCCCCTCTACGTCTGTGGTACGTCGAGTAGGTCCACCTAGTCGTTCTAGCACTCTCCAGAGTTCACGGCAACTACTATTCCCAAGTATAGACTAAACGTACACGTAGTTGATATGGCGCAACTCCTCCTTTATGACAACTGATAGTGACTTTACTAAAGTGTTCTTTTCCTTTGAAACCTTTTTCTTTTTGGCTACGTAGCCGCTTTAGGTGGGGAGGGAAGAGAACCTGTCCGCATGGATGAACAGAGTTTTGCACGGACAGCAAATGCCAAAACAAAAGCAAGTAACTTATCAACTGATAGCAATTCCTGGATACATCAGTGTCAGAAGATATTCTGAAGTCGATGGATGATATCGTTTGTCGCAGTCGGTCAATATTCTGTGCAGAACACTGTCTCCACCTGAACTTAGGTTTGTTGCAACGAATATTTACCTTATGATTTGTCTTAGAGTAGATCACAGGACACAGTTTAATCGGAGCTACCAAACGGTGCTTTATTACACACGGAGAACAATGAACATCAACAATAGCAGTACCTCAGCCATTTGAATTGATGCTTCGCTGCCATAGAACCATGAGGACGTATGAAATAAAGAATAAGGGGGAGAGAAGGGGGACTTACCTGAAAACCTTAATGCCTTAAGCGAACATTCAGGGTCGAGGCAC